AACATGATACCGAATTGCAACAACAGTACATTTATGGCCTCCTCTCTCCGCCACTCACCCAATGTGCAACATGAGAATGAAGTTCAATGAACCTTCCMCCACAACATGGGAAGATACACCGCCATAATTTTCGTCTTTTGCACATGCGGTGAGAGGTGGAGTGAGGCACTTACAAGACTGCACCAGATCCGACCGCTGCCTCTGCACATGGAAATCTGGACTTTTCGAAGCCACATGGGATGTTTGTCCCGCTCGGCAGGCAGTGACAAGGGCATCGCAACAAAATTATTCGTTAAAAACACAAAATAAAATAAATTGCCATTCTCTTCACATTTGTACACACTGGTGTTATCTTCATTGTTATAAATTATTCTTGTAGTAATGTGAAGACTGAACTTGTGTGAAGAGCTTTTTAATTATTTTAACTTCTCAAGAAACCGTGAGTAAGTGCCTCCGTGAGTTATATTAATTTTCTTCACATTTGAGTACACCATCGTTTCACATTTCTCTTCTTCACATTTTCCCAAGCATCACATAGCACGCCCCATTTTTTATTTCGATTCCCCCCTACCCCCACCCCCGCCCCCCCTTGTGGCCCCTCTTGTCCCATTCACATTCATGACTTCTCCGATCTATTCCGCGAGTCAGCAGCCAATGTAAAAAACCGAGACCTTGTACGTACATGAAGCGACTGAGCTCATCCAATCGAATCACGACATACTGAGATGACGACAGCTGGAAGGAGAGGAAAGCAGGAGGCATTGGGGATTCCGTACAGCATGAAGAATGGAGCAAAATTTAAAAAAGTAGAGAATGCCAACCAAACTTCGCAGCAACAGGAAAACACATGAAACAGGCGAACACACACACACACACACACACACACACACACACACACACACACACGCACACACACACACTCAGAGACAAAACGACAAATTGACAGAACGCATCAGAAGGAAGAAAACACACAAGAGTACTCCCTCCCTCCCTCCTCCCTCCTGCCCTCCCCTGCCCTCCCTTAATAGTTTTGCACACTAGAACAGTGGTGGTAAAATTTTGGCAGCACCAGTCTCCCTACCTTGTAGAGGGATGCGTGTGCAAAGCCTCGTTCCAGTGACGACTTGTTGATGATCATAGCGTCTTCCATATCGTACCTGCAAAAAAATAAAAAATAAGAATAAAACTTATAAAAGAGAGCTTGTTGGGCAGAACCAAAGATCAACCAATATAGGATGGGCAGAACCAAAGATCAACCAAGTATGGGCAGAACCAAAGATCAACCAAGTATGGGCAGAACCAAAGATCAACCAATATAGGATGAGCATATATGCAGCGGAAGTCTAAGATATGGACTGACTCACATAGACTGAACTCACCTAGACATCACTCAACACACAAGCAATCGTGAGATGGTGGGTTCTGAAGCCATACATAGACGATGCTTCAGCCCCGTACACCCATACACAGATGGATGGTGGGAAGAGAGACGATGGAGGTGGGAGGAGAGACGATGGAGGTGGGAGATAGGGACAGCGCCAGATGTCACCGAAATAGAATCCAGAATGTCACCGATATAGTAGCCCAAAATGTCACCAATGTCGGAGGTACAGAATCCTAATGTAACCGATGTCCGATCTGTAATGCCGCCAGGTATCAATCCCAACTATCTCCAATGTCTCGAATCCGGTAAGTATCACATCCTCCTACCACCGAAGTCCAATCACTGATCTCTGTC